ATATATAAATAATCTATTATATATTTGACATCGCAATTATAGATATCACAGACAATATCAATAATTATCTTCTCTTTCTTATTAAAAATTATTATTATTATTATTATGTTAACTTTAATTAATACACACGATTGGATTATATTTGTCTTAAGCATTTTTTTTTCCTTTAAATGTATTGGAAACACTTGCTAAATATAATGATTTATATTATTTTCCTAAAAAAAAAAAAACTTTGACGTCTAATTAGAGCATAAGTTTTATTATGCATAGTTTATTATGCACCGGCTCCCAGCTCCCGTTAATTTCTGCGCATTCTCCGACGAGAACGTTTTAGAAGTTCATCTTATATATTTTAATATCATTATAAAGGCCTTCATATGAAAGTGTAGCGAGTGTAACTCACTTTTTGCAAAACCAAAATATTTTAATTTTTTAATTTTCAATTGATTCTCATTTATGTTGGAAAAATTTTACCAACTACTAAAAAAATTGAAAACGAAACGATATGCGTTAAATATTACAAATAATCTTAAAAAAATCTAATACATTTGTAAAGTTTAAAAATATTCAAATAAAAATTCAAAAATGTTTTTCCTAATTAGTTGGATTTGTAACACAATAATAAAATACATTGTTTATATAATGTAAATGTAATAAACGGTTTAATTTATATCTCATTTATGCACTAAAAAATATTATTTTTTAGTTACGCAATAACTAAAGTTTTTGGACAGTCGATACTTGATTTATTTTTTTCCTTTGTAAATTGAAATTGTCAACTTTAAGAATATTGCAACATACGTCAAAATATATGTAAGAATCATTTAATAATCTTTATATATACTTATAAAAATGATGAAAATTAATTCCGAGATACGGAAGACTCATCACATATATGTATATGTATCAAGGGATAATTAATATTTTTAAAAAAATTTTTATCAAATCGAAACATTAAAAATTAACACACATAAGAGAAATTAGTTTGAATGTATATCTATTTTTTATTTATATCTTTACATAACAAGATTAACATAGTTTTTCATTTTATCCAATTTTTATTCTCTTTCTTTGATCTTATAGGCGATTAAAAGAGAAAAGATCACATACGTATTTAGTATGGATAGTTCTTTCCTTAATATAGTAAAGTTTAATTTAACTTTTTTCTGATTTAAAATACTTTTACTTATTAAAATGAGAAAATCATGTAGCATTTATATTAGAAATCAAGTCCGTGTAATGAAGAAAAAATAAGGAATATACTTCTCAATTTTTTACTAATCAAAATCGTATAGCGAATCTCAATAGACTTTACTTTCACATAAGAAAACATATTCACACACACACACACACACACGCGCGCGCGCACGCGTGTGCGCACAGCATACATAAAAAGATATTCCATAAAAATATATCAGCGTTTATCTTCTAAAATTCGAATTTTACTTTTATAGAATGCACATTTTACGACTGTCCCGTGAAGTTATGAAAATTTGTTTATAATAAATGCCTTAATTTCTATTTTGTTATAACGTACGATCAATTGCTAGCAAGTGAAAATTTGTTTGTAATAAATGCCTTAATTTTTACTTTGTTATAACGTATGATCAATTGCTATTGAACATAAACCTTTTTAAAAATCTCCTTACACATTCGCTTTTTCAATGTTTTCTCAAATTCAATTAGAGAGAAAATAGTTGGAGTGTACTTATCTTTTTCATAATTAATATATGTTCAGAGTATGTATATATAATATATTCCTGAGAATTATTATTAATTAAAGAAAACGTTCATCTGTTGTGCTTGCTATCGTCACTTTACAAAAAAAGTAAAAAAAATCAGACAATCTGATATCTTGATAGGGACTATAGCATCTATTTAGAACTTGTATGATATGGAAGACAAATCGCATAAAATCAGTATATTTGAATGCGAAAAGAAATAAATATCCAATTCTAATATTTATATATAGCTTGCACTTGCGTATATTTGTTTACGTGGATACGTGTAAAATATTCTTTGTGTCAGCTCTTAAATTACTTCAAATGCAGAGACATTTAGGTACACACGAAGTATAGAAAATTTTCATACACTCTTTTTTTCTTTAAAAAAAAAAAGTTTGTCAGAATACACACACACACACACACACACACACACGCGCGCGCGCGCGCGCGCACACGCACGCACGCACACGCACGCACGCACACGCACACACAATGTTAAAATGGTTAAAATAATGTTTATTTACATATAACTTTTCTTGACTATTTCATGTATAAAAGCATTTCAATATTTAATTGGCATTTGTTAAAAGTGTGATTATTCTTTTCCTCTTTATTTCGTGTTCTTGAGACGATTTCGTCATTCATATTAATTAACAAAGTAATTTTTACGGTAAATTTTTATGTAAATAAAATTAAAGATTTAAGAGATGGTTGTAGGTTAATGCAAATATAGTAACATAACTGTACACGTAATTAAATAATATAAAGAAAATAACGTGATAGTTTCAATTTCCATAGAATGATTTAACTCTATTGGTTGTCTTTTGAAAGAATCTCGCACTAATCATATGGAAAATTGGGTCCCGATAAAATTAGTTAGTTTTCATATATAATATAGTCTATAATGTTATAAATAGGTGTTATAAACACAAGGCTCAATAATGGATAGTTTTTGAGCTAGGTATATAAAAAATGTAAAAAAAATTTATGCTCGCATTTTTGATAGCACCTTTCATACATCAAAAATTATCCATTATTGAGCCTTATGTCTGTGACTGATTTCTCTCACTTTCTCTTTTTTTATTTTTCTATTCATCTATCTGTAATGTCCTCATCTTCAACAGCCTCAATACGTATGTAATATGATTTTATACGGATTGAACAAAAAATTAGCGATAAACATTTATATGTATCATTCTTAGCAATAAGAAAAAGAGAAAGAATGATTTCGCGCAGTTTAAAAACAAATTTTAATTATGGCATAGATAAATTTATAATTTTCATATTCTATTTGAGAGTAATATATTATTCTCTTTAATGAGATAGAAAGATTTTTAGATAAAATATTATCTCTGAAAGAGAATTTTGTATTACAAAAATAAATCGCGCAAAAATACAGGCCAGGCAATACAAAATTTTATTGATTAAAAAAAAACGCTATACTATCCGCATTATTATATTAGATTTTAATAAAGTCTGCCTCTTATTAAAGAATATTTCAGTATATATATTCAATATTTTACAATATATATCTTCAAAATCTTTTCCAATCAACAAATATATAATTTCTAATCAGGTACACGATATATAACACAATATGTATTACGGGCGTAGCACGAGATGACTAGAAAAATTAATTTAAAACAATTTGCTTGGCACGTCATTTACGGAACTTTTGAATAACCATTCGATTCACATGGTTCAATTGATTCGCAAAATAGAAACGCACTACACATTCGTATTTATAATATATGTGTGTACAATGTACATACATAATGTAACAGATAATGGATTGGACCACATAGAGAACTTCCCCTTCTACTTCTATACAACAAATATTGTTTTGTATTTGAGGCGGAATATTATTTATTTATTGATAAAAATTATATTTGATCAGATAAATAAACGAATCATTAGCTTAAATGATTAAATATTATTAATTTAGATAAAGTGATAATTCGTTCGAGATGATCAAATATCGATTATCGTAACAAATTCGATGTATCACTATCTTTTACATTAATTAAATATTGTTTATTAAGATGAAACATAGTCACTGAAAATCAAAATGCGATACTAATGACATAAAATATTCCTTTTCCTCATTATATTGCAATTTGAAAACACTTTGCACTCCAATCCAGTATAGTGCACATATCTGATAATCAAAACAGTTTTTACTTAAGAATATCGAGCTTTCAAATTCTCAGAGGGATGTGATTTTAATCTCATTCAAAGATTAAAAATATAAATTTGAATTTAATATAAGAAGTATAAACAAGTATGATAGTATCAAGTATTGAAAAAGATAAAAAAGTGTAAGAGTTGTGCAAGTAAAAAAGTAGTATATAAATAGCTGTACACATTAAATAATATTTTAAGCATACGTTGCCTTTCACGAAAAAAATGTTAAAATGAATTATAACAAATTATGGTCCATATAATACTAATTACACGAATAACTTGGTTACATTATCGAGTAGCACATTACAAATAAAAGAAATTATTAAAAACATACGTGAGACTTATTTGACAATAGTATTTCATACGTTTTGTTAATTTATATGCGATATATCTGGAATATAAAAATGTCCTGCGTATTATATATGCTTTCGCACACTCTCTGAAATCTTATTTTTCTCTTTCTTTCTTTCTCTTTTTACAAGTCAATAGAGAAATTTTCAAATTCTTTCGAGAATTTCAAGTTCGATATTGCGATAAATATCTCTTGTGCAAACACGCGAGGAAATTCGCAGACTCTTATTTATCTTCTGAACGATTCAAACTCTAACGCCAATACCGTTATCGCTTTTGATTTCTGATATGATGTCAAACGTAGGAGTGCAGATATCGGTGGGTGTGGGAATAGCAAGAGGCGCCAGACGCGGGTTTCTCTTAACCGGCGGCGGTTCCTTCAAGATGTAATTCACGCAGGATCTGACGCGCAATCTGTTCGAATGTACGGCCGGTTCTACTCTAAGAATCGTGCAGGACCGTGTCGAGGGATGTCTGACACGGTGCACTGATTCCGTAGATCTACTTTGAAAAGCCGCTTCTACAGCACACTTCTTCAAATTCATTGTTGACATCGAATTGTACGCCAATGCGTCCCGCTCAGAATCGGGCGTAAAGACCGGCTCGTAGCTCTCCTCGAAAGACGTGAATATATCCGAGTCAGGCATGGATGGCGCGCTGAAGAAGGACTCGCGCAGAGATGACGTCAGAGCATCGGGACACATAAAGGGGTCCAAGGAGGTGAGATCATTGAGATCGCTGCCGCTGTTACAAGTCTGAAAGTCGTTGACCGAATAAAACAATGGGAACGCGATTTGATGCTCCATTGCGGCGTTCGATAAGACTTCTTGGCTCCTAGAGGACTCGGACCATTTTGAATCGGATGGACGTCTTGAGCTAAACCTGGTGGAATCGTGCTCGGCGAAGATGGGTTCCGATAATCTCGTGTCTCTATTTTTGTCCGAGTTCCTCAGCAGTGCCTCGAAAAGATCGATCGGCTCCAACGTCGACGTATTACCGGAAGATGGAGGGTCGCTCCTTTGACTTGGAATTTGATCATCACTTTGTTCGAACGGTTCGCTCAAGTCCTCGATATTTAGTAACACGGTCGGTACTATAGGAATTGAGCGTCTCATGGGCTTCTGATTGCTTCTTTTATTTATAGGCGATCTAGTGCGTTGCGCGACGTCCACGACAGATCTCGGGATCTCAAGACTCTGCGTCTCTTCGGCCTGAAGAAATGCCGCGGGAAGAGGATCTATAGGACTCGGAGGTTCCGAATGTATCGTCGGAACAATCAACGAATCCATCAAGTTGGAAGGCTCCAACAGAGTTACTCGGTGCATCACTGGATCGCCGATTGCATTAATCGACTCGGAGTGTTTCAATGCCTCCAACTTTCTATGAGTTTGCGTCATGGTTTTGGCAGTAAAATTTATTATGTGCGCGGGTGTGCGCGTATTTCTCGATGGTGAGTCTAGGTTAATAAGATTGGCTAATTTATTCGATGTAATAGTTAGGTGCGGGAGTGCGCTTCGCTTCAAGGTATCCGTCTCGCAGCTTGTCTTGACGTTATTAAGCGCCGACGACGAGGAGGAGCAGCCGTTTCGCAGTTTGTGCTTCAGATTCGGATTCACGTGTCCGAAATGGCGAAACTTGGGTCGCGGGCGAGAAGAAGTCTTGCTAAAGGCTTCTCTCTGTTGATCCTCCATCTGTCGACAAAGCATTGCGTGCCTCGCTAATGCGTCCTCGTATCCGTGATTGAGATTTTGCACGGAATAACCGTATCTTTCCGTGTCGTTATCACTTATCGGAAAGAGTCTCGTGCTTACCTCGGAAGCATGCACCGTTGCCGCTCCGAGATTCGAATCTGACATGGTCAAGTTTGGATTCCGTCTTTGATAGACAACATTATTTACGCGGTACATTACTTGGTTCGAGTTCTTCGTGTCTACTACGGAAGTATCGATATTTAGTATTGGATCCGATAGGGCGTTCAATTGAAGAAACTTACGATTGCTGTGTGAGCCGTCGCTCTTCAAATTCTGATAAGATATAAATTTCTCCGACTCGAAAATCAACGGTAAATTATTCCCATTTATTCGTTTGTGATTCAATCGTCGGAGATGCCTAATCTTGTTGAAAGTCGGATCCAGCAAATACTTGAGATTTTTTATCTTGTCGATATTGTGATTGGAATCGATAATGTGATTCCGATCGATGATGTATCTTGGCTCGAGCATTTTCGTCAGGTCGTGAATATTTTCCTCAATGATGTCGCCCGGTCGACTGCTGCAGGACGCAATATGCTCGTTGTCATGCTTCTCGAGCGAGATATCGGTGTGTCTACCTGATATTTCTAAGCATCTATTCTTATAAAGAGCTTTATGCTTAGTAGTAGTAAAGCAATCCTCTACGGGTGGATGCCGTCTGCTTTCGTTGCTCTCTTCATCATAATTCACCTCGGCCAATTCAAGATTCGTGTTGGTACCGCATCTTGTCGGTGAACAGCCGTAATGGCCCGGCATCACACCAAACAAAGCGACCAGATCTTGAGCAATTTTTCCGGCAGCGATGCGCATCTCACCATGATGAAAAGCATAGATCCATGGATTCGCGCCGCTATGCGCAAGGATTGGCAAACCTAGCCACACCACCGCCCATTCCGATAGGATGTTGGTACCATAGAAAATGTCTACCAGCATGCAAGTCTAGAAAAAGAGAAAAATCATGTTAGAGACTGCTCTTAGATTGCCTCGTATGTTTATTAACATTTTCTTGAGATTCTAGATCTGTTTCTTATTCCAACTAAACTGCACTACAACTCTTTCTCGCTTTCGCTAAATATCAAACATGTACCTATCTCTTACTTTAAGTTCCAAAAGTGTACACTAGTACACTAGTTTTCTGCAGCCAGAAAACAGATCTTTCATTTATTTGCAACTACTAGAATTACAATTACATCATATGTAAAGAGAATTGGTTTTTGTAATTTTCTAAGTTATTGTATATTAAAAACGGAGAAAAAACGATTCGAAATTGATATATAATAACTTGCTTGCCGCATCAACTCATTCAAATCTGTCTTCATCCGTATAAAAATTCATTGTGTCGTGAATCCTTTTAGATGTGATAAACAATTATGCAAGAGAAAAATAAAGATTATTTCTTTCAAAGGGAAGAATGAGAGTATCTTCTATATACAGAGTGTTCGTGGTAATGACCGCATAATCCGCAATTTTTGCAATAGACAACGAGATATTATTTCTAAAGATCGAATAAACGGGTAAAATCGATTATATGAGACACTTAAGATAGTTTACAAGTTCTTTATAAAATATCTTAAAGATTTTTCTTAAAGAACTCTTAAAGATATCTTACGGTTATCTTATGCATCTATTGTTTAGACATTTTGTTGACATTAGATAATGGAAAAAATTGCGAAAATTGCAAAATGAGGACAATAGTTTAGTCCGCTCTACTTACCCATGAGAGATTATGTGGTCATCATCACAAATACCCAAAATATGTGTATTCCATTATAATTTACGGGTACATACAAAATGTTCTAGAAATTGGTGACCAAACTTTAGTATCGTATTCTCTAAGGATGAAGGAAGGTCATGTAAACATAGGTCCGGAAAGAATTCTTCCTTTTTGAGATGTAAACTTTTTATCTCAAAAGTTTACTTTACACGAACAGATACTATACAAAGTACATAAATACAAAATAAATATTGTAGAGCAAGTGATACTGTTATATGTCCGAGTTTCTATCTAAACGTTGCATAGTTAAGATAACGTTAGATTAGTTAAGATAATCACCTAACCAAGATGATTTATTCCAATATTACGCAAGTGGGCCGATATTCATTTCATGTATGGACGAGCTAACGGAAACTTCAGAAAAGCTCATCGTCGATGCGAAGCGTGTATCATGACACACAAGGAAGTCATTTTCAGTTCAATTTCTTTAAGTTACAAATATTTAAAATATTCTCTCGCAAACAAAAAGTGTTTATATTTTAAAAAGGAAGAATTTCTGGACCTATAATATTACATTTATTTATGTAACGTATTTTTTCATTCTCAGCGACATTAGAATATGATACTAAAGTTTGGCCCCACTTATTTCTGGGACACCCTGTATATTTCACGTATTGTACCAATATAATTTACACAACGTAATCGACGTACATGATTCTTCAGTTAATTATTATTATTGCTATTATATAATTGGATACTTGGAACTAAATTTCGCCTACCTGATTTAATAAACTTCCACGTTAAAAAGAAATTCAATGTACTGAGAGAAACACTTGTAATATTTTCCCATTTGCTCTTTTATTCACGAGGCAAGATTCGTATAAAAAGTAACAAAAAAATCACAAGGAGTACCATTTCTCTCCTTTCTTCATATTTAGCAATGCAGTAAATATGTCCTATCATTTAATAATTTTACAAGTTGCATCTTTTCGTCGTTCAATGAAATCTTTGCTCCCTTGTGAAGATAAGATGAAACAAGTTGAAGTCAAGGGAACTTTAATATCGCTTTCCCAATGTCTGTTCCCCAAATCACTAATAAAAATTTCAAATAATAAAAATTTCAAAAAAAAAATCAATATATTGACATTTAATCTCATAAGCTTACCTTATTGTTGTAATATCAAACAGAAAAATGTTGAGGAAGAAATATATTGCTTTGGAAAAAAAATATTTCTTTATAGGTATGTACGTATTTCTTCTTTTTTGGTAATATTTAATGAGGCGAATACGGTCACGATATGTCTTTCAAATTTATGTTTTCTCTCTTTCACATCTCTTCATTGAACATTCTTGTGTTGATCTTTGTGGCATAAACAGAAGATACGGAACTTTTTCTTTTGCAATTTGCATAGGAGAAATATGCATGTGCGTTTTGCTAATGTGACCGTGTCTCATTAAAAAAAAAAAAGAAAAAATTTTTCTATAAAACAATAAATCTGTTAGTCACTTGTGATAAACGTTCAAAATTTGAAGTACGACGTATGTCCGTAATTTAGTTGATAGATACAATATATAATAAAGTCACAAAAATATGAAGCAATAGAATCAACACTATAATAGATTTAAATTTCTTATTTCTCCGGTATAGGAAGCATATGGCAAACACGGCGACAGCAAAATGTCAATCCACGGCAACATGTAAACATTACAGACGAGGTTTTAATGATTTTAATCCATCTGTAGGGGGGCATACTTTTTTCACCTAGATAAAATTTCATTCTCAAATTTCTTTGTGTGGCACAAATTTCAATTTTTATTAAGTAAAGGTTTTAAATAACAACGTTGAATTAAATACCTATTTGACAACGTAGCAGAAATGCTGAAAATAATTCTGAATTTTTTTAGATTTTTTTGAAGTCTAGAGCGCAGTAATAAAATTTTAGCTAGAGACAAAAAAAGATTCAGCGAGTACCTGTGGAGTAAGTAAACATATGTGTGCCTATGAAGGATATGAAACATATGTAACTCCATAATACTGTGGTCAGTGTGTACAGTTTGAAACTTGAATTTTACATATATCAATGTGATGTAAATCCAAGAAAGAGAGTTATATATTCCTTCTGCAGTAATGGAAGCTCGCACTCACTTGAAATGGAAGCCACAGAATAAAAAATGCGCCAACCGTGACTGCTAGGGTTTGTCCATAACGAGGTAGTGCCAACGTCTGCGTTTGATGTCTAAACGATAATTCCACTGTGTAAATCGCACGTGCATGTGCACGTGCGACAAGATAGACGTACATGTAGCAACCCAATAGAACCAGGGCACTCGGTGCCCAAACTGCTACGACCAGAAACACTCTGACTGGTGGTAATACGGCCGCATCGAATCTGCAGTTTCCGCTACAAGATAAATTAATATCAAAGATTATTCGTCCTAGAATTACAATCTATGATATTGTTCGATATCTTTCCAATATTAAATATTAATATTCTTTCTTTGTATTTATTATATTTCTTTTTATTTATTATATTTATTTTTTCCAATATAATAATTCATTAAATTAAAACGGAATTTATAATTGTGATAATACTGTACCGATCTACTGTACAAGTTCGCGTGCTTTACCAGCTTTACTGCAGACAATGAGTCTTACTTATTGTTAACTCACATTAAAAGTGAGGTTATAAACTGCTGTGTTGTTGTCAGTAAAGTAAGCAACTTATATAATGATGTCATTACTAAATACTAAATATATAAAATATTCACATGAGTTTATACATGTATGTATAATATATAATATTATATACTAAGACATGTTTTTTATTGCTGCACTCTCTCTAGAACTGATGCAATAATTATTATATGTGCCAGTTCAAAAAAATAGTTAAAAAACAGATCTTTTGATTCAGTATAAATATCGTATTCGTGAAAATGGAAAGCAACCATTGCTCCCGGATGAGCCGATTAACGGCGAGAAGTAATACGCAAATCAGAGCGAAAGCGATTAAATTAAAGTAATAGAAAACTGTGATATGTCGATCACTCAGCATTATGATCACTTAGCGTCATTGGGAATTCGCAGCAAGTATATATAATATAAAATTTCGATTATACCTATATTCCACTGAGCCGGAAACGGGCGGGACGGGGCGGTTACAATTAATTTGTTGATTTGACTACTGTTGTAGCTGAAGTTGCCGCCGCACCGCAACAGATTATCGATACCGTACTGTACCGAACGGAACGGATGAAACTCGTATGGTTTGGCGACGCGCTTTTGTAAGTATTTAATACTGCATGGCATATATAATCGCAATGAATTCAACTCCGTAATATTTATCGATCACACATTGTAAATACTGTACGGCACCTCTGCAATCTGCGCGATGGTAATCAACGGTAATTCTCGACTGACATAGGGTATGGTCAACGCGATGCTACAACGCTTTGAAGCGTTTTTTAACTGGTCAATTTGTAAAATTCTTTCTTCTAATTGGTCAAATGCTTCAAAGCGAGACTTTGTTTGTAGCGAGACTTTGACCACAGCCATATAATAATGATAAGGACATTCGCGCCGCGCTCGCGCCGCGCCACAAGCGCAGAAATCAACCAAACTCGACGCGCGTTGACATATTTTCGTATATATCGCAAGCTGACTGTACGACTCTTTACGTTAGGTCAGAAATCCAAACAGGTGAATTTCTCAAGAATATCGCAAGCGCATACTCTGCGAATGTATCTCTTCGATGATTCGATGATTATTTGTTCGCATTTTATAATAATATCGTGCCTAAAATGCGCGAATAAACCACCAAAAAATAGGGAATACTTTCAAAACCCCCAAAATTGCACATTTTCAGATCATCGGAATTTGATGAAAAATCATCGCAAAAAAATAAAAAAGTCTTTTAAAGCTTGAAATTTGGATTTGGCCATTTTTCAAAAAATTTTCTATCTTTATAGTTCTGTATTTTAACAATTAATAATCAGGTTTGGCTTTAAAATGCGCCATTAATTGGTCAAGAAAAATCATAAGAAAAGTTTTAAAAAAACATTTTGTAGGTAGGTAAAATTCTGTCTACTTTATAATACGATTTATTGTAAATTTTTTGAAAAAAAATTTTTAAGCAAATTACAGACTGTTACTGTTGAATGTACATATATACATTTGTGGAACATAACAATGTCATCTTTGTTAAGATACAAAATTGTAAAGATAGCAATCTTTTGAAAAACGGCTAAAACGTGTTAAAATGCAAGTCCTAAGCTTTAAAATTCCTTTTTTATTTTTTTGTCTCCAATGATTTTTCACAATGGTGTTTCGGTGATCTAATAATTGTGCAATTTTGTGCGTTTTGAAAATGTTTCCTATTTTTTATTGAATATGCAATATATTTAATAGATTATACACGTCTGCATACTTTATATTATGTTACGTGTAATGTAAAATATACAATAGATTACATTTATTCACATTTAATATATTTACAACATAATATATTTACGCTAACCAAATATAAAAGATCTATTTGTTAAATATAATTTTATAAGTTTGTTAATAAATATTTAATCTTTAAAAATAATTTAATATTGATACCAATAATAATATTTGATGTGAAAAGAATATAAACGTGCAGATTAAAATGTGCGTTTTATTGCAGATAAAAATGATTGAAGTAAAAACTATCAAGTAAAATTTATATAAGTACAATTTTTATATTTATTTTAAAAATATTCGATGTGATGTCTCTCGATTAAAAATTATGTGTAATTTTATACGCGACTAAGAATTAATTATATTATACTTTAGTTATTATCCTCTTTAAGACGATGACTTCTGTCCATACAGCACAGAAAAATTGCTAACAAATGCAGGCGCGTTTTGTTTGCCGACATATAATTTAATGGGTGCATTCAGTACTAGAACCGCTCATTGAGCGCTTAATGAGCTCTTGCACCTATTTGGTTTATATTTTTGGAATCTATATCTATCGGAATATGCCAATTAGATGCAAGAGCTCAGTGAGCGGTTATAGTACTGAATGCACTCAATTATTCCGATTCGTATGAAAAACAAGATTAAAATGGAATTCTATACTGGTAAAATTAATTTTATTTTGGAAAATTTTAATAAAAACGAATTATACTTTATTTTTAGCAAAGACGCGATTAAAAATTTTACATTACATTAATTATATTATGCGGAATCATTGTTTTTCTCCATTTTAAGTTTTTTTTGTAAAAGTTTATTAATAAAACAAAAGATAAAAAACTGTAAAACAAAAAGAAATAGGATGCAAAATTTGCGCTCATATTGTATTGATAATACTCTTGATTAAACTAAATACTAAATGGATCATATATTTTATTCCATCCAAGATCTGAATTAAACATGTATATAGTTTTACTTGAGATTAATACTTTGCAAATTGCGTAGAGCGCGTTAATACCGCAACAAGCCATATATATATATATATAAATATATAAATTAAATGAATTGCAATGATTTGCACTTGCGTGCCGGTATATTTTTATAAACCGAAATTTACACAATTTTATTTTAACTAAAATAGTGAAATGTAAACATATACATATATAATGATACGTGTATAAACATTGAGTAAATATAATTACCTGTGCGATTGCATCCCTCCGATGACTTGAACATAGATGAGAGGTGAGAGACCAACAGCGATCGCATATATCCAAAAGACCGCGATATATTTTTCTACGCTGCTGTGAGTGATGATGTTTTTATATCGCAACGGTTGCGCCAACGAAGTCAAACGGTCCACCGCGATGGCCACAGTAACTAGGACACTCACACTACAGAGCGCGATCGCAATGCAATATGGCACGATGCAGAGAGCGGAAACGCCGTTTTCTGGTAAACCGGAGAGCTCCAGCTGTATCCCGACTGGCATAAACACACCGATCTAATAAAAACGAGCAGATGCATTTATCGCGGATCTAAATGAGGATGCGTTCGTAATTGATGCGAACGAATAAGTATTCGATAAATAAGACACGTTTTTATTACAATACTTATACATTATACAAAAACGATACAAATGATAAGTAAAGACTTACCCCGAAATCGCTAATAGCCAACGAGACTAAAAGACAATTGGAAGCAGTCCTGAGTCTTTTGTACCTGTAGAAGGCTGCTAGGATGATGGAATTACCGGTAACGGTGATGGGCGAGAGAATACACACTACGGAGATCGCCAGAATAACTGAGACCGGACTGATGTCAATCTTGGTAACGGTGGGTATGAAGCTAGTCGTTAATTCTCCAACAAGGGTAGTAGTGGACGATAGCGGCATATCTGTGACGAGTGTTGACATTGTCACTCTCAAAGCAACAGAAGAATTCGCACTTATTCTCGCCTACATTTTTCTTTGGGTTAAGTTTTTCTTAAGTTATACCCGCGCTTTGCATCATATGGCCTTGCGTCATGACGCCAACGTCATCGAAATTGTCATGTCGCAGTCTGTAATATAGATCGACAATTGGCTGAACAAATTAAATTGCTAATTGCCTAATGCGATTAGCTGGTTAAAAAAGTAAATAAAGCATTCTTTATAAGTAGATATCATATATGTACACACACACACACACACACACACACACACACACACACACACACACACACACACACACACACACATGTGTGTGTGTATCATATATGTTAACGATCCAGTTATCTCATTGGAACGATGAAATGTTTCAGCCAGAACACAATGGTCATAATCTTCGATTTTCGATTTTGCACTTTGGATTGCATATCTTTGGAGGAAAATAACTTTCTGAGGCACTCCTACTACTGTAATTTTCGTCTTGGATAATTTTTCTACTTTATTGAAGAAGCTCTCGAAATTCGCGGCTAAAGTAATTGAACTTGATTATTGATCTGTTGAAAAATTATAAGCTGTCATAACGTCAAGCTTTGTATCCATTGAGAAGCGGAAATAACTTGAATGCGGAAATACAGAATATTTGATTCATCCCTCGAATCTCCCTCTCTCTCTCTCTCTCTCTCTCTCTCTCTCTCTTCTTACTCCATTTAATTCTTCATTTTTCTTGCAATATTGTGATATCTATTCCTGAAACAAGCATACATTCAACGTTTCTAATTAATTATCCTTTCTTGAAACTGCAATATAAATTCGAATAAACTAATATACAAAATAACATATACATGTAACATATAATGTACGTCATAACTATATTATTAAATATTGAACCAGTTTCTTTTTATATTCTATTATTAACTGATAAATAGCATAGATATAAAAGATTGAAACAATTGGACTACTATATTAATTTTATTGCTTGTAATTGCTTGTAAAATATGTAATGCAACCATACAGACAGGAACGGTTTGTGGAAAATGAGAATATTTTGCAAAAGTTTTTTGGACGTTTATTAATTATTACATATTAAAAATTTGTAGAATATAATTGTATAAGGGTAAAAAAAATTGGAAAAGAGTAAAACAAAAGTTAGAATCATAAAATTGTTTCAATTGCTACGAGATTATAGAATTATTCAAAAGTTCACAACTTTCAATATATGATTTTTTTAAACAAATATTTTAATATATTATAATGTATAATGTATAATATAAATGTTAAATAAACTTTTGAGTGACTTTTGCTCATTGTTTTAATTTATAATTAGATTTCATTGAATCATTATGGCACGGGTTTTCGTGACGATCGTCATAAAGTTATGATAGTAATCGTGAATTAGAAATATTGATAGTTTTTTCCTGAATACGAGATTTGATCTCATATATTTGAAGCTAAAGGATGAGGATGTTCGCCTCATCATTTCCGCCTTTGTCATTAGTAAGATGTATCTACAATCTGCGTCAATCGATTATTCGGTCCAGTGAGCGAAGGCTACCGTAAATCACTACCGTGAATAAATCGCGGCAAAGAGAATTTCCATCTTGTAACGGGGATTGCCGAGTAACGTGGATAGCGTGATGCAGTAGCAACGGATTTATACAATATATTAGTAGTATAATGTGAAACTTAAGCTTCAGGCTTTATTTACTTACACGTCACAAGAAAATAGGATAGTCGCCTTTATAATATATTGCTTAGGTATGTCTTGCCAAGTATCTTCAAATATTATACTACTTCGGTAAGCTATTGTTTTATTCGTATCGACTTTAACAGATACGAAAAATACAAAAGTAGATTAAACGCGCGTAGAGATTTATTTTTTCTCTCCTTCTTTAAAATGAAAGAACTATTTCTTTTTGCTTCGAAGCTTCGAGGATCTCTATTAAAAAAATAAATTGTATACATAACGTAGCTAAGTTATAAAACAGTATTTCCTCTGTTGAAAGCCTGTAATAAGCCCTCTGTAATAAGCCCCTCAAATTTGTTTTTTTTTTGCATTTTATATTATTCAATTGCGTGAAATATAAGACAAAAACAGAGTAAAGAGAGGATACATTAACAATATATTGCTTTTTTCTGTCATTTATTTTTCTGTATTATTTCCAAATTATTAAATTACTTATTGTGTACGCCATTGTGTACTACAATTTTTATGATAATTTATTCAAAATAAAAAAAATCTAGTAAAGTATCTAGTAAATCTAGTCTATTTTTTGTGACTCTCTTTCTTCGAATATATACTTGATGTGTTAAATGATGTCTTATAGAAAATTACAAAAGAATTTCATTTTTTATAGGCAAAATTATTTTTTAATGTAAAAGAATAGAATATGTCGACAGAAGAGATAATTTAAATAATGTGCGCACTTCTTTTTCTACCAACATTAATTGGAAATTCATAGAAACAATGAATGTTTTTCGGTTGACGTTTTGTATGTATGTACGTGGAGGCTTAAAGTCAGTCATCAAAACGGAGTATAAGTTGCGTTAAGTTGGAAACACAATAAGCACAGGCAATAGGAACACTAAACAGGGAATAATGAGACGAGAATATAAGGTTTGTTCGCGTTACATGCTACAACATGCTCCAATGTACTCCTATCATAGCTCCTACTCACTCCAATGGGCTCATTATAGTGAGTAGGAATTATGGCAGGAGCATGTTGGAGCATGTTGAAGCATGCGACACGAACAAACCTATATCGAATTTATATCCCAGAACTCTGATTGAACGGCTCGTCGTTCCCTGTTCCTGTTGCCTGTGCTTACTGTGTTTCTAGCTTTAGAGCGATGAAAAGTGACGCGAGAAAATTTCGCGTCAGATTTCGAGAATGTGAGGATCGTCACGCAATCCATTATATGCTGAGTGGATAGTCGTTTCGATAAAAGCAAATTATCGGAAACCAGTTGTTTGTATGTACAATCAACCGCAAAGAAGAAACCGCAAAGAAATTGCATTCCTTGTCGCTTCTTTCAATTGCACTTCATGATTTAATTGTGGCGTGATGAAATATTTGAATTAAGAATGGGAAATATCATAACCATAAATATTACTTTGAATTTTGAGATATACAACTGTATATAATATATCCAGTAATCTTGAAAGAATAATATAAATATAATTATCATTTAATGACATTCAATAATATTACGGTTAATAAAACAACATAATAATAAAATTTAATTTTTTTAATTTTTAGTTTCAATTTTTTAATATATATGATATATATTAATCAAATTTAAAAAATATTGCGTTTTTAAATCTATTAGGTGTACAAATAAGTTTCCGCCGTTTGACAAAAAACGGTGCCATTAACAAGCTATGGTTAAAATTGTCTGATGTAAAACATTATATCGTAAGGTTGGACATCTGTCAACAACATAACCTTGAAATACTAACGATTTTGTATCAGCATCATATATTTTTTTTTGTGCGAAAAATGCCGAGTTTTGAGCCGAATAAGCGTCATTTGCGGGAACTTTTGATTTACTTCTTTAATTTGAAGAAATCTGCAGCTGAGGCTCGATTGCTTGTAGAAGCATATGGTGAGGCTGCCTTAAGTGAGAGAAGTTGTCGTAAATGGTTTCAAAAATTTAAGAACGGTGAATTTGACGTCGAAGACAAAGAACGTAGCGAAAGGCCGAAAGTGTACGAAGACGCGGAATTGGAAGCATTATTGAATGAAGATTCGTGCCAAAGGCAAAAAGAACTTGCACTTACATTTTGACTTACATCAATAAAACATTATGTATCGTTCTTTCACAATAAATGCTTAATTTTTTATAAAAAACGGCGGAAACTTATTTGTACACCTAATAATATACAATATTTCCAGAAAACAATATGTCTAGAATATGTACATAAGATGTTCTGATAACGTCATCTGCTGCAGTATGTCATAGTCTCTTAGATATATATATATATATATGTATATACAATATATATAGACGTCTGTTATGGAAAACATTACATATCATAATTAATGCATTCGATACAAAATACGATGACTACTTTCGTCGCCTGAATCTATTCAAATTTGTTTAAATTCAATGTTGTGTGACTTATATCATATACGTGTATATGACTTATTGATAAGTACAATTTTTTTATTCTACTTTATATTGATTGAAGAATTTGTAAATTCTATGACAAAAGTATTCTATGAGATGCAGTATAACTACACACTTATTATAGTGTAGAAGAGAACGTAAAAAAGCAAATGCTTCCTAGAACAAATTTCCTAAACTATATTTGACAAAATTCTGCGTATTGATAATTTACTTAATACAATATAAATTCGAAAAACCAAAATTCGGCGCGCAATTCGAATGACTATAAATATAATATATATGCATGTAAAAATGTACATATATAGTATATGTATATGTATACATACAATATAATTCACATTGAATAATTTAAATATTAAAGATCCAGCTTCAACCATTGTAGGTATTTAATTTCTAGTTTGTATTGGTTTCACACGTACAGTCTAAAATAAGATTCTTATTGTTTAATTTACTTAATGTTATAGAACGTATAGCATTTTTAGAAAATGATAAAGAACGATTTTGTGTTGCCACAATTTTGTGTTCGGCAGGTATAAAAATAAATTTATCGTCATTTGCGAGTCATAGCTTGTGTATTAAAGTGTACTTAAATATAGATGTGCAATAGGTATGCGTTGTTTGCTATCGATATTTAATAATGTTATACTAATAAATAGTAAATTCTATTTGTCTCCTTCATATTTATATTATAGTATTTCTGCAAATGATCAATAAATATAAATGCTTCTAAATTTACTGAATATAAGACGTAATTTCTGAAATTTAACTGCATAGATTGAACATCAACTTCCGGTGTTAATATCCGGTCGAGAAACAAACGATTCTTAAAATATTACGTGTTGGAATGTGACGTTTCTTACTATGAAAACAGGAAATTGACGAATAATGCGAAATAATCAACATCAATGGCGATGTAACAATGGAAATATGCTTTTTCTTGCTTCATTTGAAAGTGCAGAAAGTAAGTGTTGACCGAGAAGAACCCGAGTTTTTCAAAGTTTAGTTGGAAAATTTAATAGGTACTCGATAAAGATGGCACATACTTGTATAAACATATATATGTAAAAATGAAAATTTTATTAACATAGCAACTAACATAGCAGATCATATTATTTATTCTCTAAATTTGACAATAAATTGCTTGCAGCACAAACGACTGATTGTGATGTCATTAAGTAATACACTTGATAAATAAAAAACATAAAAAATAGTTGATTTAATTTTTTATTCGAAAGAATAGTTAAATTGAATTAATAAATTGATTTTGTCTTTATGTTCACGCGCTTGCAATTAGTCAAAATCTTTTAAATAGATCTTCTTTTATTGCGCAAAACAAAATATTTGTGTTTCGAAACATTTGTTTTTCCTTTTATACTACAGGTACAAATATTATAAAAAATAAAAATGTATTATTATCTTTACACTAACTATGGCAACTACTACCAAATTTAATACAATACTCAATACTTGTATAGTAATATTGTATATTTCTATATAATGACATTATCTATAAACTATTGATCTTGGAAAACATATGCTTTCTGTTTCACTATTTATTATCAATTATTCATTTTATTCTACCGTTCAATAAGAAAAGCACATTTTCTACTAGAAAACAT